CTCCCAAAATTTACGAAGGCATTACACTAAGCGGCAATTTCTGCATGGTGGGTTAGGCCGCAACTCACAAATACATTTCGTAGGTAGATCACATTTTTGGATTTGCTGTGTTTCTGTAAGCCAGAGAACCTTTGGTGGCTTTTTCCATGTGGGAGTGCTAGAAATGAGATGGGCTATTGGCATTAACTTCCTTCATGATAAAGGCACACAGTTCTTCAAACTTATGCACCGTTGCACCTGTAATTAACCTTCAGCACACACACACACACACACACACACACACACACCAACCATAGATTTTATTCTTCCATGATGGAAAGGCAACTACTTTTTCTTAGTTTTGTTTTATCTACACTTCCTGCAGTGGATAATGGAACCAAAACAGACAGTAGCAAGGACAAGAACAGACTTCCAGGCTAAGAGGTGTTTAATAAGATATATTTCACAACGAAGATCAAGGCCACTGGTCCCATCACCTCCTGGCAAATAGAAGGGGAAGAAATGGAGGCAGTGAGAGATTTTACTTTCTTGGGCTCCATGATCACTGCAAATGGTGACAGCAGCCACGAAATTAAAAGACGCCTGCTTCTTGGGAGAAGGGCAATGACAGGCCTAGACAGCATCTTGAGAAGTAGAGACGTCACCTTACCAACAAAGGTCCGTATAGTTAAAGCCATGGTTTTCCCAGTAGTGATGTATGGAAGTGAGAGCTGGACCATAAAGAAGGCTGATCGCCGAAGAATTGATGCTTTTGAATTATGGTGCTGGAGAAGACTCTTGAGAGTCCCATGGACTGCAAGAAGATCAAACGCATCCATTCTTAAGGAAATCAGCCCTGAGTGCTCACTGGAAGGACAGATCGTGAAGCTGAGGCTCCAGTACTTTGGCCACCTCATGAGAAGACTCCCTGGAGAAGACACTGATGCTGGGAAAGATGGAGGGCACAAGGAGAAGGGGGCGACAGAGGACGAGATGGTTGGATAGTGTTTTCGAGGTTACCAGCATGAGTTTGACCAAACTGCGGGAAGTAGTGGAGGACAGAGGTGCCTGGCGTGCTCTGGTCCATGGGGTCACGAAGAGTCGGACACGACTAAACGACTAAACAACAACAACAACTTCACAAGTAACAATACTAACACACATCTCGTAGAACTCAGAATCCCAGAGCTGGAAGGGACCCAGAGGTCATCTAGTTCAACCCCCTGCTGTTTTCAGCCGCAAGGACAAAGGCCTTCCAGCCCCATATTATAGGTTACAGGAGTCTCTTCTCTGCCTGCCATACTTCATACCCATTTATTCTGCATGTTTCTGCCCAGTATTGGATTCTGAAATGGGATGTTGCTCAACCAACTACAACAGTTTCCTAAGAATATTTTATCTCACTGTGCATCTGGCTCTACTTGTTATCAAACAGCTGCAACTGAAACACATTCAGCTACATCCACCAGCTGGACAGGGAGCTGGGGGAGGGAGGGAGGGAGGGAAGAAATGCAGGGCACATTTTGTTTGGTGCCTGTGCAAATGCAGTTAGCAATGTGACATATATGTGCACTATAAAAAAACAACAAATTAGCCCAGTGGCGTAGCGTGGGGGGTGCAGGGGGGGCCGGCCGCACCGGGCGCAACATTTGGGGGTTAGGGTTAGGGGGCGCAAATCCACGGGTTAGGGGGCGCAAATTACTTGCCTTGCCCCGGGTGCTGACAACCCACGCTACGCCACTGAATTAGCCTAAGCCCCTCCCTCAGATATTTAACTCTGAGTGACCAAAGGGAGAGTGCTGACACCGGATGAGTTTTCCCAAAAGGTAAAATATGGGAAAGGGTCTCACCAGGAAGAGATTGTGAAACAGGTTATGTACGAAGCAGAGGGGAAAACACGGTGGAATCTCATAGCAGAAAAGCAGGAGATATCATGCTAATGGTTAAATTCCAAGGTAGCAAACCAGAAAAGTCCACATCAAGGTCCCAGTTTGGGCAGAAAGAAGCACACATACAATCCTCCAACGCAAGGATACTCCTGGACACCCATGTTTTAATCCCAGCTCCTGCAGAACTCAAACCATCTAACCAGCAAACAGTCTTTCTGGAATTGGCAGATGGCAAGATGGTTGGTGTGTGTGTGTGTGTGTGTGTGTGTGTGTGTGCAGGGGAGGAATACAGGCCACATCTTGCATGTGATCCATTGGGCTGTTAGATCTCTAGATCACTTGGGATTTATTTACTGATTTGTATCAAGGTGGTTGTGGTGGGAGATGAAGGATTTCCCACACCAAGGGGAACAGAGCTGAGGAGCTCTGCCCCATCTGGCTGGCATGCAACACGGCTGCTCCAGCTGCTCAGACACAAACCGTTCCTTGTGCTGCTACAATTCTGCTGCAGCAGCATAAAATCAACACAATATACACAAAAAAGCCGACCAAGGGGACCAAGTGAGAGCAGGGATGGGGAGTTTCAGTGTCAAACACCTCAGTTGAGGGAAGATACAGATGACTCATTTCAAGGTCAAATAGCTTCACAGGGCTGCTTAAAATCACAGGTATTAAAAGACTGTGTAAAGAAAGAAAGAAAGAAAGAAAGAAAGAAAGAAAGAAGAAAGAAAGAAAAGTTATGAGGCTCAGTAAGCTTACAGACAAACAGGAGACCCAACCAACTTATAACACCTTTTTGTAGTGTTCTTCAGGGTGAGTCAACTGAACTAAAAATGCCGCTGATCCAGTGGAAGTCCAAGGACACCGTCTTAGACTTCAAAAACCAGGATAGCTGATGAGCTAACGAAAAGAAATGAAGAATAACAATGTGCTATACTTCTGTGGCTGCACCTTTGATGCAAGGAGGGGGAGATCACAAATTAATACAGTGGTACCTCGGGTTACAGACGCTTCAGGTTACAGATGCTTCAGGTTACAGACTAAACCAGAAATAGTACCTCAGGTTAAGAACTTTGCTAAAGGATGAGAACAGAAATCGTGCTCCAGCAGCACGGCGGCAGCAGGAGGCCCCATTAGCTAAAGTGGTACCTCAGGTTAAGAACAGTTTCAGGTTAAGAACAGACCTCCAGAACGAATTAAGTCCTTAACCCGAGGTACCACGGTACCTCATCAAAAACAGCTGCCAGGAAGAAGGGTTCTAGTATAGCACTGCTATGTGCAGGGGTGTTTTAAGGCAGGGAAGCATTTGATCAGGGGATTCCCCCATCTTGTAGTGACATTGTCTCATGACAGCTGCATCACATACTTTTTCTGGAATAACTTCTGCATCTTCCTGTACATGCCATATTATTAACCTGGCACCACATTAAAACACACTGGAACAAATGTTCTCTGTTGTGCAGAGGCATGGCAATGTGGTGTTTACAAAAAGCAGCCGTAGTGTCAATGTTCTTGCCCAACAACTGTTCCTAGTTACATGATTCAGCGCACAGGTCAGGCCGCCTTTCAAAGTGCAAAGAGAAAGCACCGTTTCAAAGCTAGTTGAGTTACAGACCTCTTGCCACTAGCCATTAAGAGAGCTCACACATGGCGGTGGCTTTCAGTGACATGCATTATAATACAAAGACTGAGCTGAACTCCATTTTAGAGTAACAGACCAAGCTTGGGCAGAGGTCAAAAGCAAGACTGCTGTTTGATAAATCTTGTTAACTTTCTGGCACTGAAGAAACACTTCAGATGGAGGAGCATGTTATGGTAAACAGAAAAAGCAGTGTTAGAAACTGGGATAGAAAAGCTAGGAGCCAAATGGCTTTTGGGACCTGGGTTGTGGGCGCCAAAACAGAATGTCTAGTCACCATTTTATTTGGGGGGGGGGAGGTCAACAAGATTTATTATTTATTATTTTGATAAGCATGAATACGCAATTCACATAAGTGACACATTGTTAATATCACATTTGTAGCAGAAATTGTTAATACATGTTCAATTTGGTGTTGACAACAAGCTGGTATCATACTTCAGTTTTCAAAAAACTCTGCTCTTTATTGTTCAAACTCCTTAACATATTGTATATCCTTAACCTATACTTTGAGGCTTCAAAGCACATGCATTTCATTAATCCTTGAGTGTCAGCAAAAAAAAAAAAAAATGGCACCCAGACCTTTTGAGGAGCTCGCAAATGGAGAACCTTTAGGCACAAAATGTGCCCTGCTAATTTGGAACCCTGCGAAAAAGGGCAGGCAGATTTCTTAGGGGCAAAAGGTGCTACTAGTTATGGCTGCAATCCTAAACCCAATTACTAGGAAGTAAGATCAACTGAATAGGGTAAAATTTAGTTCCAAATACAAAGAAACATAGGAAGCTACTTTACACTGATTCAGATCGTTGGTTTATCTAGTTCAGAATTTCAACACACTGACTGGCAGCAAAATTCTAGGATTTCATCCAGGCTCTTTCCCAGCCTGACCTGGCGACGCCAGGGACTGAAGGAGCGCAGCAGGAACTTGCGCTGCGCTCCGAAGACTTCAGGGATAGCCGCGCGCAGCCCCTCCATCAGGGAGAGGCCTGCACGTGGCCTATGGCTTTCTTTAGCCCCGCTGCAGCCTCTCCCGGCTGGAGAGGTTGCGTGCGGCTTAAAGAGGAAGCCAAGAAGCAAGCTCGCTGTCCTGGCTTGTGCATAGCCGCGCGCAGTCCCCTCCGTCAGGGAGACGCCTGCAATGGGGCCAAAGAGGAAGCCAAGACGCACGTGGATCTCATCCCGCTCGCTGTCTGGCTCTTTGCTCTTTGGGGCTGGGGGAGGGACCCCACGGGCTTCCCCCGCAGCCCCAGCAGCTCTGGGAGAAGCGTACAGCTGCATGCTCTTTGGGGCGGGGGGGGGAAGATTTTTTCTTGATTCCCTCTAAAAACTAGGTCGCCTATGGTCCGGTGCGTCCTTATGGAGCGAAAATACAGTATTTAATACATTCAACTAGTTATCTTAGGTGTCACTGGGAGTGCTGGGGAGAAAGGGCTGGTGGGATATCCTCTTTACCTTTTCTGGAGGCCTTACTACACTTTTGTTTGAATTTCCAGAGGGGGAGCCATGTTGGTCCATTGCAGAAGACTTTTCAAGTCACCCTGTGGAGAACTTCCTCACACACAAGAGGCCTGGGCTCTCTGAAGTCCAGGGACTTCAAACTGGGACGTCAAATTGTCCAGTAAGCTGACATCATTGTGACATCTGGAGACGGACAGATCAGCAGCTCCATCCACCTGTCTAATTTGGCCTAGGTCTGGCCCATGGAGGTGGGGAACTTTTTTATCTCCTAGGCTTAGGCCTAAAGCACACACCCCTCACCTTGTTCCAGAGACTATACATGAACCACCCACCTCAGAATCTAGCAGTGAAAGCCAAGCAATTTGAGCACTAATTGGCACACTTTCAAAAACTGATTCTAATTAGCCAGTTCATTCATGAAAAATCTGCTAGTTGATTTCCCCCCACTTCAGTTTGCTGTTTACAAAATGGCTCACATGTCTCGATGATTAGATCACAACCCACTTGTGTACAAAGAGATATGTTTAACTTGCTAAATAAAGCCATAGCCTCCTGAATAGAGAATGCAACTTCACTGAAATATTGTAAGAGGGCTAAAAGGTGCCTAACTGAAATCTACAGACCCGGAAGTCCACATATGAAGAATTCTGAAATTAAATATTGGCAGACAATACTCATTCAGCACCCATACTTACTGTGTTTTGAATGCGTCTTACGTGACATAGGATGGACATGAAGCAGTGGCCGTTACTATTTTTACTGACAGGTACTGAAAGCTGCTGAGGAAGGCATAATCTTCTGCCACCACTGCATCTTCAGAAATGTGCAGTGGAATTTAGGCTTTCAATTGCTTTTTTGGCTGATAGGTTTATCTTTCTTTTCAAATGCTCTGCCATTATGTTCTTTAGTTGCAGTATACAGTGGAACCTCGCAAGACGAATGCCTCGCAAGACGGAAAACTCGCAAGACGAAAGGGTTTTTTGTTTTTTGAGCTGCTTCGCAAGACGATTTTCCCTATGGGCTTGCTTCGCAAGACGGAAACGTCTTGCAAGTTTGTTTCCTTTTTCTTAACACCGTTAATACAGTTGCGACTTGACTTCGAGGAGCAACTCATAGAACGCGGTGTGGTAGCCTTTTCTGAGGTTTTTAAACACTTTGGTGATTTTTGAAGCTTTTCCAAAACTTTCCCGACACCGTGCTTCACAAGACGAAAAAAATCGCAAGACGACAAAACTTGCGGAACGAATTAATTTCGTCTTGCGAGGCACCACTGTATAAAACTTCGAGATTGTATCTTTAGAGGAAGAAGCGCATGTGAGCCTCAGTCTGCGCACTTTTCCTCCTGGCAAGGAGACCAGGCTATTTCACTTCCCATTTTTTGTTAACCACAGTTCAGTGTTACATCTGAACCATAAACTTTACTATGGTTTATTGATTAAAAAAACAGCTTAATGCAAGGTCTGAAACTGGCTGTGTGTGTATGTGTGTGTAAACTATAGTTAATTCTAGCCACAGTTTGTCCAGGTGTGGAAAACACTTAACTAAGGTTACTCAGGAACAGAAGTGAGACAATAAACCATAGCATGTCACTGCATAACAGAAACAATAAACCACAGCATACCATTGCATCAAAATACAACCTGCATTGCTAAAGGAAGACCCAAGTTTGAATCTCACCACTTATTAGATTACCATAGGCAAGCTACTCTATATTAGCTTCAACATCTCCCTCCCTCCCCAAGCTCTACAGCAAAGAAACTATATGGTTCTGCTGTAGATAAAAGGTAAAGGTAAAGGACCTCTAGGCAGATAAGTCCAGTCAAAGGTGACTATGGGATGCAGTGCTCATCTCGCTTCAGGCCAAGGAAGCCGGCGTTTGTCCGCAGACAGTTTTCCGGCCATGTGGCCAGCATGACTAAACTGCTTCTGGTGCAATGGGACACTGTGATGGAAGGCAGAGTGCACAGAAACACTGTTTATCTTCCCGTTGCAGTGGTACCTATTTATCTACTTGCACTGGCGTGCTTTCGAACTGCTAGGTTGGCAGGAGCTGGGACAGAGCAACAGGAGCTCACCCCATCGCGTGGATTCGAACCGCCGACCTTCTGATCGACAAGCCCAGGAGGCTCAGTGGTTTAGACCACAGCGAAATAAATAATAGCATGCTGGTCTAATTTAGAAGGCAGTTTAAAATGATCGTATTTGATTGCTTTAAAACTCTATAAATGTTCTAAAACTCTATAAATGCTCATGATTAATTAGCAGATAAGAAGAATACAGACTAAAGAAGCAGGGAAGGGGACTAAATAGGAGAAATACACACAGAGTTTGCAATTGCCCACCATCTACTTCCTTGCAAATTTTCAAGGCTGGACCAGTGAGCACAGTAATGCTTTAGGTATGAGCTTCAGGAAAGGCTTTTTAATTAGATATTGCTAGACTGAGATATTTTGACACCTGCCCTTTTGTTGGAACTGGGGAAAACTTCAAAATGCAACTTTAACATACAGGCCTTAGAACAACGAGAGACTTGCATACTGCGGCCTGCTCCAGTTAAGTGCAGAGCAGAATGGAGAGATGCAGCCAGGAAACTCTCTGCACCTCCAAAAATGAAGTCAAGAACACAAAGCCATGTATTGCCTCTTGTCTCAGGCTGCAGTTCCCCTCTGCACGCAGCAGGCAAACACTTCAAGGACCTGGGCTACGATTTATTATTTATTGTTGCTAACAAGAGAGCACCCTTGTGGTCATGCTTTTACAATGGCAAAACAAAGAACCAGCTGGGACCCAGAATTTATTCCCCCTCCTCAGCTGACAAAAGTACAAGAGCTGTTCTTCAAATCACACACAAAGCTAAAGAAGTTTGTTGAATTTAGCTCCTTTATCAACTTTAATTATGTTGATTTGCAGCATCTAAAATGTCTGACTAGGTGTCGCTTAATCTGCTAGACAGACTAAAATCACATAGCCAAAGCTGTCTCTTTTCCACCGTCCTCTCTGCTGCATCCATTTCTGCATTTGAAAGTCTCACTACAGTTTTCCTGCTTGCCAGCTTGCAAGCTGATGAAACACCATGCCTAGAAACAGCTGCTTGAATCTATGTCAAACTGCATCTGGCACCCATCTATCTTCCAACCAGCTATATTCACTTCTGAAATCATACCAGAGCAGATCGCATAGTCCCACCCCTCGCCCCCTTGAGCCGCAGAAACATACCAGGCCTTTGTCTTGTCATTAGACCTATTGAAGCAATTTATCTGCTGATTTGCCTTGTGTTTTACAGGCAGAGATCTACAACGGAAGGGATGAATTGAAATATATATCTGGCAGCGTGTGCTGGGTGAAGGGGAATAACCCACTTACAAATAAAAGTCCCACCAAGTTCTCCCAAGCTCTCATTAAATCCAGTTTTTGGCTTAAACAGAATGTTTAGGGGTTTTCCAATGGAGACTTTCTGGTGCCTGCAACTCTCAGGCAGGGAGGGGAGTCTCCTGTACAATTCTCAAATTGTTGTCATGGCCATTAACTATACTATGGTAGAAAATACCCAACAGGGCTGCTGAAGGTTTGCTATGTGCTGGCTCCAGAGAGGTATTAACAAAAAGTCCCCAAAGGCCTCACGCTATATAAATAATTTACTATTGTCCAAATATGAAACTTAAAAGATTAAGTCAACGGCATTAAAATCTACACTCTAGGCACACATTTTTATTTAAAATTAAATCCATTTAACATTTAATCCATCACATTAAACAGGCCGGATCCTTCCAAAAGCATTTGGGAAAGCTAAATTCCATCTCCCCTAGAAAAAAAGTGAACAGCAGCACAGTTAGACTCTGTGTTTTGCTACTGTTTTCACACAAGGGCAGTGGTACATGAGTCAGTAGTATAACAAAACCTTTTGGGAAGGAACGGCAGCGCATGGATAATGTGCTCATTATCTGGGAACTGGAACTGCATAGAGGAACCTAGTGTTCCAACTTTCTCAGGGAATTGTGGTTTCTCTGCGTTAAGGCAGAACAAGTCAGCCACAATAAATCCCTCAAATCAGTATTTCCCAATTTTCTCATCACTGAGGTATACTTTTTTTGCCCGCATTAAAATTGGAGGCACTCTTCATCCAGGCAATCCATAAGTTTAAGAGCGTATGCAAGAGTAAGAGGCCAAAAGGAACTCTGGTTCTTGTGTTTTGGTGTAAGCCACTGTTTCTGAGCATGCTGCTTCAAGGGAATGCCCCACTCAAGCAGAGACTCAGCAGTTGCCCCCTGGGCCAGTTTTGCCTCCTGCCAACACTATCTAGGCTTGGCTGAAAAGATGCCATTTCTTCCCAAATCCCAGACAGTGGCCTTTGTTTGCTAAAGGTGAACTACCCAGCCTTTTGTTTCTCATCAGAGGTCTGTACAGAAGATGCCAATAGCAGGGGTGGTCTGGGCAGTGAGCGGGCAGATAGATGCTTAGGAGGAACTGGGCTGGGACCACAGCGTGCAAAGGCCAGAGAGCTGATCCAAGCTGATTTTCATCTAGCCAGCATGCTGTTATCAAAGTGAACCATTCACAGTGGGATCAGGTGTTAAACAGGGTTGTGTCATTGCCCCAACTCTATTCATTATTTTCATTGCCCTGATCCTACACTTTGTCAAAGGGAAACTCCCCTCCAGAGTAGAAAACACATATCGAACAGATGGAAACCTCTTTAATCTGAGTAGGCTGAAAGCAAAGAGTAACTTCCGTCATAGAGCTTCAGTATGCTGATGACAACGTAGTCTGTGCTCACTCAGAGGATGACCTCCAAACCATCCTAAATATCTTTGCAGAAGCTTACGAAAAGCTTGGCCTATCGCTCAACATCCAAAAAACCAAAGTGCTGCACCAACAAGCATAAAACAACCCCTCTGCAGTGCCACAAAACCAACTCAATGGTGTAATGTTGGGAAATGTTGATCACTTCTCCTACCTGGACAGTTATCTTTCCACAAGGGCTGACATTGATGCTGAAATCCAGCATCACCTGAGCTCTTCGAGTGCAGCTTTCTCCTGATTGAAGTGCAGAACATTTGCAGGCCCTACACCTGTGCAAATCTGGTTAAGATATGTCTTCCCATTCTTCTGGATTTCCTTAGAGCAGTATCTATGGATCTCCGTTGGCTCCTTCTTTCTAGAGCGCTTACTAGATATGTCTTAGGTCCAGGCTACATAAATCATGGATCATGTGCTATTATTGTGTACCACTTTAGACCGTTGGAGTCGTAGCAGCATATCTGCCCATCCCACAACCCAACATATAGAAAAATTGGCACATTTCAGAGTAGAATTGTTCTCCCCAATATATTACTTCTGTGTGCAAGGAGATATTTTATTTGGGAGACCATATACACGGCTGATATGCCTATTTTCATCATAGAAATGTTGGAGGGTATGATACAGTCATGTGACTGTAAATGCAAGATCACATGACAGGTACAGTGCAGGAACAGTTTTAATACGAGGTCTGCAATAATGTCTGTTATTTCAGAGCATTCTGGCTCCATAGAGGAAATGTTCTTGCTTATGTAAGGCTCTATAGATCCTATAATCTCTGAAGCTCCTACCAACTTCCGTTTCTTCTGAAGTTGATCAGACAATCTCATGCATGACCTGAGCATTCTCCGGACTGTGTCTTTGTTCTGCCATTTTATATGCACGTGTGAATTGTCCGTCTATCTCCCATTTGGACAGGGCTTTTACCCACCTCTTCTCTTGTGGCACAAAGCCCCATGTGCAGTGGAGGGGAGGTGTGTGCAGAGGGTATGGCAAACTAGGTGGCATTAAAAGGCAGGAATGGCCTGCCTAATTTGATGTGTAAGGAAAGGGATTTGGAGGAGAGGAGCTATGTGCAAATACACAAGCAGGACTCCGTGATGATTTGTGCAGCAGCTCTTTGGGAGGATTAAACAGCAGCAGAGGGGAAAGGTCAGGAGGCCCACGGTAGGGAATGTGAGAGATAACCGAGGCTCAAGCAAGGCCTGTCAGCAGAAGGCACAGTGGAGAAAAGAAGGGCACAGAATATCAGGGCTACAACCCAAGATGAGGCAAGACGTGCCTGAACTTTCTTTGCCAGTGCTTCCAACTTCTGAACTCTGGGCTCTATTCCCTTACCTGTCCTAGCTCCCAGGTCCTCTATCTACCCCATAACCATCCCACCTCCAGGTATATTCACATTAGTGGCCTGAAACGCAGTGAGGCCATTTCACACCACGTGGCCTTCTTGGCTTCCCTGCCCATGCAACCCCCCTAGAAATCCCACTCATTCGTTGGTCATGCATTCTGCATGGAGGTGGCTGTTAGGGTATGTTCAGATTGCTACTTACTCCTCATCCAGGTTTCTAATTAGACTAAAACCAGTTTGCGAGGAAAAAATGCGCCAAACAACAATACAGTGGTACCTTGATATAAGAACAGCTTAGTTTATGAACAACTTGAATTAAGAATGCTGCAAACCCGGAAGCAGGTGTTTTAGTTTGTGAACTTTGCCTTGGAAGCAGAACATGTTTCGCTTCCTGTTGAGTGTGTTCCATTTGTAAATCGAGACCCCTGCTGCTATGGGAAAGCACACCTTGGTTTAAAAACACTTTGGTTTAAGAACGGACTTCCGGAACGGATTAAATTTATTAAATTCATAAAGAAAGGTACCTGTGTACTTGCCAAGAAATGACAGAATCGAAATAATAATAATAATAATAATAATAATAATAATAATAATTTATTTATACCCCGCCCACTCTGGGCGGCTTCCAGCAAAAGATTAATTAATCAAATATTTAAAACTTTCCTAAACAGGGCTACCTTCAGATGTCTTCTAAAAATCACATAGTTGTTTATTTCTTTGACATCTGATGGGAGGGCATACCACAGGATGGACGCCACTACCAGAAGGCCCTCTGCCTGGTTCCCTGTAACTTCGCTTCTCGGGATCCACCAAAAGGCCCTTGGCCCTGGACCTCAGTGTCCGGGCAAAACAATTGGGGTGGAGATGCTCCTTCAGGTATACTGGATTGTATGGATTGTGGCATATAAGAAGCACGGAGAACAACCACAGACAGACTGAAAGACAAGCCAAGGAACACGGGAGAAACTGAACTGCTTGGGATCTGAAATGCCATCCACCCACACCCCATGCAGGCAAAAGTTACAGCACAAACTGCCACTGAACATGATATCTTTGTGCTTAACAGATGTTTCCTTTTGCTGTGTCTCATTGAAATACTTCAGTGCCCCCAAAAGGGTGTGTTTCAATCTCTCTCTCTCTCTCTCTCTCTCTCTCTCTCTCAGCAACGCACTATTTGGTGCATTTAACTGACCACGCTGCTGGAGAATCGAGACAAGCCGTTTTGCAGCCAAACTTGCATGTCCTTACAAAGTACGGTACTTAACCAACAATGTGATCCTAATGCATGTTTACTCAGAAGTAAGTCCTACTGTGTACAACTGAGCATATTCCTTGGCAAATGTGCACAAGACTAGAGCCCAAGTTTCTCTGTCCTGAGGGCAAAAATGATGAATGGCGTCCTGTGAAAAAGAAAATCTGGCCTGCCTCAATTCTAATGGCTGCTGAAGTCTGGAGTCAGCCATGCTCTGGCATGCTTTCCAGGTCTCCTATGAAACTGAAAGGCTGGCATGTATGGAAAAGATTATGTTTGCATAGATGGGCTTTTCCAGACTGCTAACTGAAGGAGAGGAACCGAAAAAGATGAAACCTCTTGTTATTAAAAATGCTGACATAAATAGATGAAGCAGCGGCTCCAAACTGGCAATAACAATAATTATGAATGTGTATCTCATGTACGTGGGACACGGGTGGCGCTGTGGGTTAAACCACTGAGCCTAGGGCTTGCCGATCAGAAGGTCAGCGGTTCGAATCCCCGCGACGGGGTGAGCTCCCGTTGCTCGGTCCCAGCTCCTGCCAACCTAGCAGTTCGAAATCACGTCAAAGTGCAGGAAGATAAAAAGGTACCGCTCTGGCGGGAAGGTAAACGGCGTTTCCGTGTGCTGCTCTGGTTCGCCAGAAGCGGCTTAGTCATGCTGGCCACATGACCCGGAAGCTGTACGCCGGCTCCCTCAGCCAGAAAAGCGAGATGAGCGCCGCAACCCCAGAGTCTGCGACTGGACCTAACGGTCAGGGGTCCCTTTACCTTTACCTATCTTCTAGATCTAGAGTAGCCAACGTGGTCCCCTCCAGGTGGTCCCCTCCAGACGCCCTGGGCCACAACTCCCAATCAACCTGAGGCAGCATGACCAAAGGCCAGGGATGATTGAGTTGTAGTCCAAAATGTCTGGAGGGGAGCATGCTGGGCAGCCCATTCTAGATAATTAAAAACTACAATAGTAAAGCCACACTTCAGAAGATTCAAAACCCCTGACTTGAATAGGTGCAGAATACAATGTACAAAAATGGGAGCTTATATTTCACCATCTTGACCAATCTGGCCGTCAAACCTTAACAAAAGACAGCAAAAACACATTCACATTCTCTAATGTGGAATTTCTGCTTAAATGCATTTATCCATATTATTTCAAAATCTAGGTTTCTTTGAAAGTATTCAATGTGTTCCTCCTTTTTAATTTCTTTAGATTACCCTGCAGACAAGGAAAAACAGAGAAGTCTGTCAAGACCTTAATCTAAAAGTGACACACTATATGTTGTTCAGCTGCTATAGAACTACTCTCTCTAAAGAAATGTTCACTGTCAAACTGAGAACACCGTCAGAAGCTTATGTTGAGTGTTTACACTCACTAAATTATCCTATCTTAGATTGTGAGGCTGCAAACTGCTGCCTGCCCCCCCCTTTTTTAGGTAGCACACTAAATAATAAATACCATTGAACGCTATGATGTTTCAGTGTCATCAATGTAGGACAGAAATCAGAAGGGAGTCATATTTAATTGGCACCATGTGGCCAGTTTCTAGGTATTATGTTTGAATTCAAAATGTGGAAAAATGGAAGACTCACACGCATCATACATGGTTTCAAGCATCTTATGTTAAACAGTCCATGAGATTTTCCTTCAGTGTAATTTGCCTATATTGTGGGGGATAGCTGGAAGGGAAGATACAGTAGTGCTGCTGTTGAGACAAGTCCTTTGCACACAACATACAAAGAAAGGAATAAAAAGGTAAAGGACCCCTGACAATTAAGTTCAGTCACAGACGACTCTGGGGTTGCAGCGCTCATCTCGCTTTATTGGCCGAGGGAGCTGGCGTACAGCTTCTGGGTCATGTGTCCAGTATGACTAAGCCGCTTCTGGAGAAACCAGAGCAGCACATGGAAATGCCGTTTACCTTCCCACCGGAGTGGTACCTATTGATCTACTCGCACTTTAACGTGCTTTCAAACTGCTAGGTTGGCAGGATCTGGGACTGAACAACAGGAGTTCACCCCGTCACAGGGAATAAAGGTTGTTAACTTAAAAGAAAAAATACACATGCCTTTTTGAGTTAAACAGGAATCATGTGTAACCTGAATGCTTTCAAGATTTAACATAAAGTTGGTTTGGTAGGTGGGTATTTTATTTTTTGTTTTTAAAAAGCGTCTCTCTGGGGTTTGGTACAGAGATGCAACCTCAATTTATCCCCAGCTCTCTTCAGGCATCGCTTGTCGTTAGCAGCACATTACAAGATCGTAATACTACAAAACCAAAACACCAAACTGGCTTGCAAATATAAAGGACAATTTCACTTGGTTCAGCTAATTAAAGTGCAAAGCCTGGAGATACTTATAGACATACAGTCAACTAGTGGCACAATTCTGCCAATAATGTACAGTATATAGTAACAGTGTCATCGCACAGTTGAAACAAGCAAATTGTTCTACAGTTAGTTAACTACTGGAGGTGCAAAGTCCTGTAAGTGGTTCTTCACATGGCCATATGTAGAGGCAGGAGTCATACGTAAGTAGTAGTCGCAGACGAGCACCTCCTCACATTACAAGATCAGCTTTTTAAAAAAATCTTCCCATGTTGTACTTATATGAACCTTGATATCAGCCCCAACCAAACAGTTCATACAAAACAACTTTTTGAGAGTCTGTTCAAGTGTCATTGGGTGCCATTTCACTTTCAACCATAGCTGCTGGTATGTGTAGTTTTGTCAGGATGGTGTCTTCTTCTTTGGCAATCACTCATCGATGTTGGCCCTTGTGGAAAGGTAACTGCCCAGGTAGGAAAAGTGGTCAACTTTTTCCAACATTACACCATTAAGTTGGATTTGTGGCACTACAGAGGGGTTGTTTAGTGCTTGTTGGTGCAACACTTCAGATTTTTTGATGTTGACCGATAGGCCAAGCTTTTCATAAACTTCTGCAAAGGATGGTTTGGAGGTCATCCTCTGAGTGTGTGTGTTTCCCTTCGACAATGTGCAGGATCATGGCGATGAAGATAATAAACAGAGTTGGGGCGATAATACATCCCTGTTTAACACCTAATCCCACTGTGAATGGTTCACTTTGAGAGCCATTGTTATCCACGATCTGCTGTCATATTCTCATGGAGGAGCCAAAGGATGTTCACACATTTATCTGGGCGGCCAGTTTTCAGAGTGTCAGACTAGGACTTAGAAGAACAGGATTCAAATCCTCCCTTTGTCATGAAGCACTGCTGGATGGACTTGGTGTTGGGCCTCTCACTACAGTGGTGCCCCGCAAGACGAATGCCTCGCAAGATGAAAAACTCGCTAGACGAAAGAGTTTACCATTTTTTGAGTCGTTCCACAAGACGAATTTCCCTATGGGCTTGCTTCGCAAGACGAAACGTCTTGCGAGTTCTTGCAAGTTTGTTTCCTTTTTCTTTAAGCCGCTAAGCCATTAATAGCCGCTAAGCCATTAATAGCCGCTAAGCCGTTAATAGCCGCTAAGCTGCTAATAGCCGTGCTTCGCAAGACGAAAAAACCGCAAGACGAAGAGACTCGCGGAACGGATTAATTTCGTCTTGCGGGGCAGCACTGTATCTCGCTGCTTAACCTACTTCGGGTTGAGGACAAAAGGAGGTGTCCATTGCCCTGAGCTCCTTTCAATGAGAGCCCAGTATAAGTGAAATAATAAATGTATTGCAGGACCAACTGTTCACCCAGTGAACTTCATGGCCGGGTGGGGCTTTGAACCCTGGTCTCCTAGGGCCTAGACCAACACTTTAACTGCTACACCACACCTTAACATCCCCTTCCAACAATAACATTCCATCACATTTTGCGCCCCTCTCCACCCAAACCTTTATTCATATCCTTTTAAAAAAAAAATCTCTGCTTTCCCTTAAAAAACAGAACACCTCTCTGCAGACTTTGTGACCCCTTCTCACCAGCAATTGGACAGGAACCAGATCAGTGGCTCTCAGACTTTTTATTCCGGGCCACACTCTCAGAATAAAGATATGCTTGCACCACACCACAATTTTTATTGGTAAGCAATATATATATACCGTATTTTTCGCCCTATAGGACGCACCGTCCCATAAGACGCACCTAGTTTTTTGGGGGGGAAATAAAGGGGGGAAAATTATTTTTCCCCCAGGCGCAGGGCTGGGGTGGGGGAAGCTCGAGCTTCCCCCGACCCCAGCCCCCAAACAGGCAGCTCTCTGCAAGCCCTCCCGCTGTTTGCTGAGAGGTCCGCGAAGCCTGGATGCGCTGAGCTGAGCGCGCTCAGGCTTTGGCATGCAGGCAACTCTCCGCAAGCAGCGGGAGCGCTCCCGCTGCTTGCGGAGAGGTGTGCGAAGCCTGGAGAGCGAGGGGTCGGTGCGCACCGACCCCTCTCGCTCTCCAGGCTTCAGTGAAAGCCTGCATTCGCCCCATAGGACGCACACACATTTCCCCTTCATTTTTGGAGGGGGAAAAGTGCGTCCTATAGGGCGAAAAATACGGTATATATATATACACACACACACACACAATACTATAATATAATATACTACACTGAAATGTTTAAATGACCTTGAATCTTCCCACCACCCTTGCCATCCTCTCCTGCCACACCCTTTGAGAATCACTGAACCAGATGGCACATCCCTGGCACAGAACTTGGATTAGTTACTTTACAGTTGGGATGGGGTGTGTGTGGAGGCTGCTGAACAAAAATGACTAGAAGGACATCACATAAGCAAAGCAAGAGTGTGAGTAGTCCTCTTCCTCCCTCCCCATACCATATTTCACAATGCAACTGCCACTGAAATCCATGCCTTAAAAACCAAGCCCACAATGTAATAAGATACAGATGTGGAACTCTTGTTTTGTTAAGATCTTGTACTGCTGTGCCTTCTGTCACCCCAGCAGCACATCTCAGAATACACATACTAGCGTCTGTGAAGAACACGGAGCTATTCTAGCAATTTAACAGTTGATGGCACAAAGCAGAGATCAACTTGAATATTCCCACT